AAATGCAGATTTCTACAATCTGAACTATTTGATCGGGGAGAAAAAAAAAGTAAAATAAAAACAAAAATTATAGATCCCCTGGTTCCATCTCAGCACTAATGAATTAGAATATCTGCAGTTTGTGTTTGGAATCTGCATTCCTAAGAACTTCCCCAATGAATTTGTTCCAGCCATACTCCAGAGCAGCAGCATCAGATCAATCCCAAATATTCTCCTTTCATAATATTTTTTTATGTGTACTCCATTTTTTTTTTTTGGCAACTATAAGTACTTTGTGTCCAATACGTGTGCTATGGGGGATGAGTCCTAAGTATAATTAGAAGAAACACTGAGATGGGAAAAGTTTAAAGCAGAAAAGGGAAGTCGAAGTTGAAAACACAGTGAAACAAAAGGTAGATGTTGCTGTGGAGGATTGAAGGAGCTGAAGAAACCAGAAGGAAATTTGTGCAGATTACAGGACTGTGCCTGAGGATTGGGGCAGGAGCTGCAAAGCTACCAGGAACCCAGTACTCTCTGCTTCTCCTTCCTGACATGGTTTACTATTTTCAACTGCAGACAAGCTTCCTTTGCTGCTCTCTGCACGGGGTCACTATTCAGCCCCTAGGTTTACACTGCCTCAGTGCCAGACACACACACACACACACACTTCACCAAAGTTCTGAGAATCTCAATAGAATCCCAGGAGAGAGGGTTGTTAGCCATATTCTGGTCAGTGTACATACACCACTGATCTCATTCCTTGGCCCTGAGACACCAGCTCACAAATAACCTACGGAGCTGCCTGAGCTAACTCTGCACCTGAGAAGGCACTTCTGGAGAAAAAGGCAATGCTGTGATTGGATCCACTCAAGGACATTTCTCATCTCAGAGTTCAAGGAACGGGCAGAGAGGAATTATCCAAAGATATTTTCCTATGGTTTTGGGACTATGGAAACTAGGAGGTTGAAATAAACAACTCCAAAACCCAAAAAAAAAAAAAAAAAGGGAGAGAGAGAAAAGTCTTAGCTATTTTACTGGACAAAATGCACTTAGCAAGAAAAACAAAAACAAAACACGAACCCTATTATTAGGTTGATTATATTTGTCACAGCATTCTTTGACGTGATTCTGGGTCTGGATCACAGATGTTACGGGGGAATTGGGTTATGTTGTCCCTTTCTCAACACAGCTGTTTTTACTTGAGGTGGATATGCGCATTACCTGGCCACCACGACCTATATTTTCCTTTGAAACAAGGGAGTTGTCCAGTGGAGTTGGATAGTGTCCATTCCTCCACAAAGCTGTTGAAAACTAGCAATCTTAGGGGCAACAGAGACCCTCAGCTTGGGAGGAAAGGAAGGAGAAAGAACTAGATTCTTCTTCTTAACTGCTTTTTTCTTCCCCAAGTAAAACTTTTTAAAAATGTCATTAGATAGATTGGGGTGGCCTTGTTTGACACCATGCTGCAGAGATGATTAGAGCCCTTCAAAGAGAAAGACTGGCAGAAGCAAGATGGTCTGTGATCCCAGAGCCCTCAATAAAACAAGCATGCTCCCCAGAGCTGCCCAGCTTCTGTGGGTGCACTTTAAGGCAATACGTCTTAAACTTTCGTATTCAATGTAAAGTACATCTGGGAATGGGTCCAGAGACTGCATTTTCTTTTTAAATTAACAAATAATAATTGCACATATTAATGGGGTACATAGTGATATTTTGACACAAATAATGTATGAGGGCTAAGCACAGTGGCTTATGCCTATAATCCCAGCCTTTCGGAGGCCGAGGCAGGAAGATCACTTGAGCCCAGGAGTTCAAGACTAGTCTGGGAAACACAGTGAGATCTTGTCTCTACCAAAAAAAAAAAAAAAAAAGAAATTTTTTTTTAATCAGCCAGGTGTGGTGGCACGTGCCTGTGGTCCCAGCTACTTGAGATGCTGAGGCAGGAGGATCACTTGAGCCCAGGAGGGCGAGGCTGCCATGTTTGCACCACTGCACTCCAGCCTGAGTGACAGAGCAAGACTCTCAAAAAACAAAACAGAACAAAAAACAAGAAACAAATAATGTATGGTGATAAGAAGTGTTTGAGAAATGATAAGCATTTAACATCTTTGAGTAATCGACATATCCATCATCTTAAATATTTATCATTTATTTCCGTTAGGACCGTTCAATGTCCACCTAGCTATCTGAAGCTACGTAATATATTACTGTTAACTATAGTCCTTCTTCAGTGGCATAGAACGCTGGAACAGTCTGGCTGGGATTTTGCATTCTTGAACACATCTCTCCCTGTAAGTTTCCAAGTGATTCTGATACTAATGGTCCATGGAAGTAATAAGCCTTTAACGAGCACAGATTGGTAACTTGAGAAAGTTAGATAAACGACGATTGAGATCCTTCCTTCCCTATGGAACGGTTCATAGCACGGATTGACTCCGGTCCACGACTGCCTTGCCCTCCTTTCACTTATCACAGGCCTTCACAACTGGTTTCTGGTTCTGCTAAGGGCCATGAAGCTAGCGGATTCCTTGTTTCATTAGAAGCTCTGCAGTGGACCACGAAGCATGCTCAGGGAGAGAAGGGAGAAGCCGAAAGAACTGGGAAAGCCAGCAGTCAGCTGCAAGTTGGGCCACAAAAGAACAGAAGAATTAATGATCCCCAGGGATTATAAGAAATATCTGGGGAGAGATATTACTAGAAAAGACTGAAAACTTCTAGTAAAGTGGATGGAGCCCGAAAACATTATAACTTGGGAATATTAACATAAAGAAGCTGAGAAGTGCTAGACATAATACTAGATACATCAACTAAATCCACGACAAAGCATCTAACTGAACCTACGAGGTAGAAAGCACCCCCAAAGTTTCCAGGGAACAAAAAATGATTACTTGGATCTAATTACATTAACCTCAAAAATGTCACTGATATTTTCTTTTAATAGCTACCAATGTTATTTTATATCAGTAAACATTAAAACAATTATTAGAGATTCCCAGGTTAATTTTCAATCTATACGTCCAATCTTATTTTTCAATTAAAATCTTAATGTTGTCAACCAAGAATTCTTCCAACAGCTTGCTGTTGAGATATTGCTATCTGAAGAACTCAAACAAAAATTTTAGACTCCAATAGAGTGGATATCTCAAATGTGCACAAGCTTAATCAGAGGAGCAAACCTTTTTTGTCTAGCCTATGTATTTTCATAATTCCCAAATTAGGATGCTTCTAAATAGGCTGCGCACAGTTAAACTGACCATAATTCCCAGTGCAGGTGGGCCACACAGTGCATTTATCTGCCTGAATTCTAAAGGAGATATGTTCATCCCTTTCATTAGCTCATCAATATATGAGTAGCATTTTTATATGTGTGATTAGATGTGAAGCGAACTCTCTGAGTCCTTGACCAAACGGAGTTTAAGGTTTAGCTAGAGATATAGGACATATACAAAATAACTTTAAGACAAAGTGGAGCATAAGAACTGTTTTAAGAGATGCAAAAAACTAAGGTCTCTGAGAGCACAGAGACAAAAGGCTCAGGACAGTTTTCACCAGAGCTCTCTGAACTGACTACTGAAGAATGGATGGAATTGAACAGTCAGAATGGCCTGTACGTGGGACGGTGAGGAGGAGAGACGGAATGAAGCCGCAGATGTGAAAAGTACAAGGCATCATTAAGAAAAAGCAAGAAACTGGAACAAAGTGGGAGTAAGAGGGAGTCACAGGGAAAAAGGAGGACACATTTAGTTAGAGCAAAATGTCATTCCACGGTAGCTCTCGGCTCTAAGCTCCCTCTCTTGTTTCTGAGAGCAACATGGCTCTCAAACTCCAGCACGGAGGCCTGCTTCCCTGTTTTTCCTGTCCTGCTCTCTGCCTTCTTCCCAGACTTGGCAGCCTCCTGATCACGAATCTTCCCTTGATCCCGGTCATGAGGAAGCAGCCCACAACCCTTGTACAGGAATCCCATCAAGCACCCTTCCCACCCACACTGAGCAGCTGCCTTTTTCTCACTCCTCTCTGCTGAGGCATTGGGCTGTCTGATCTCACCTCCTCCCTAAGCTGTACCAGGCCATGCCCCAGTACAACCCAGGCCTCCTGGAGTCAGAGCACAGATGTTTAACTTATTACTCTTCATTTTGCCTTGGGTTTCTATAGGCACTGCCAATCAAACCCATGGGGGTTCCCCACTTTGGATAATGATTCTTTTATCTCTCAGTCTCTCCATTTAAAAATAAACCAACAACAACAACAAAAATCCATTGGGCTACCTCTTTTATTCTGCACGCCCCCCATTCACCAAACCCCTATGCTTTTTTTCTCTATTCCTTTAGCCCTTGGATATCAGGACCGGGCACCCAAACTATTCCTGCCAAAGACGTACCCTTGTCACAGTGGCTACTGCCCTTACGGAATGCCAGTTTATTCCAAGCATTTTCATCACAACATCCTCTGTAAAAAATTTTAAATGTCTCTATATTTCCCCTTTTATCAGAGTTAGATTCTTTTGGCTAGCTTTCAAAGACCCTCATAACCTGACCCAAGTTCTCTGCAGTTTGGTCACTGTCGATTTCTGTGAACACAGCTGGTGGTTGTTGTGGTCTTGAGCGAATAAGGCTCTTTCTCATCTTTCAAACAGCTCACCACTGCTCTGTAGAAACCCCTTCCTGACTCCCCATCAGTCAGGAAAAAGAAATCACTGATTTTTTTTCACCCTCCTAATCTCCATACACAACCTTCGTAACATTGGCTTTTACACATCTTTATTTATGTTAATATTGTTTTACTTCACATTTGTTCATTCTGCCTTTACAAATTAATCTACAGCAGGGTCATAATTTTTGGTGTTTTGCTTTACTGTCATTTCAAACGTCTCACATGACGATAAACATGCCATGGGCATTTTGTAAGTGGTTATTGAATAATGGATTGGAGAGAGAGTTTCAATCGTGAACAGCTGCAATCAGTTTTAAACAGTTATCTAAGAGTTACAGGAAAAAATAGAGCTATGCTCTATGCAGACTTACCAGAGAAGACACTAGGTATCTTGGAAAGAAAGCTTTTGACCGTACGAATAGGAATTCCATTTTTTTCATCTTGCATACGTGCTATGACGTCTTCCATCTAAACAACAATAACATAATTAAAACCTTTATGAATTTGAACTTTTTTGAAAAAAAATCAGCTCTCGTAACAATTTTGTATTCATTTTGCCCAACTAAGAATAATGCCATATATCTTGCCTTTCTAGTTTTTGCCACATTAATAGTTTAAGTTCTGTTAAAAAGAGATGGAGGAAACAGCAAGAAAAATGGCCATTTTAGAGTCCGTTAAGCTACCAATAGGAATTGTGTGCTTTGAATATTGCCTCTCTCCTTACTTCATGTACTTTGGTTATAAAGGTTAAGCTGAAAGAGTATTTATTTCTCAAGTCTTTAGAAACCATTGTCATAGCGGATTCATGCTTCATTAATGTTATCTCTACTGAAGTCAGTGCAAAAGAAAGTAGAGCCTTAAAAGCATCTGCTTGAATTGCTTCTTCAAGCAAGAGATTTTCCATGAATTTGTTTTACAATAAAGCTCCAAAACCTGCCTAGAAATCCAGGACTGATTGCCAGCTACTATTACATCTCTTGTCCAGGTACTTACTGAGGTGTGTTATGAAACACACACACATACACACTCTCATGTACATACACACATGCATGTGCACATATTTGCCACACATGCACACATATATGCACACCAGTACACATACACATACATGTACGCACACATATGCACACACACATTTATATACACAATAAAATGAATGTAATACCACAGGCTTCTGCCCATTTACTAGATTCCACTTTATCTTTGTATCCATCTTGTTAGTACAGGTATTGATTGACTTATGACCTATGCAACTTACGACCATTCGACTTTACAACCACAATCGCCAGCCACGACTGCTCCACGTCTGGCAGCACAAACGTTGCCTAGCTGGGCGTACGACAGTGCGGACCAGCTTCCGGCAGCACTACCATCTCCGTGTGCACCATTTCAACTGTACATATAACCTACTCAACTTACGACCAAATGTTACGACCGGTCTGCCTGTCCCGATCGTGGTCATAAATCGAGCACTAGCTGTACACTCTTTTACTTTTACAAACTGCTCACAGTTCTAAAGGCCTGTGCTTCATAAAGTTAATGTGGAATTTAGTTTTGAAGAACATTCATTCATTCAAATCATAGCCACAGACTTTCCTCATGTGCTTCTAAACCTGTGAGATGCGTAGACACACAAACACACACAAGTTGTAGTATGGGACTTAAAATCCATTCATCCATTTATTCATTTCACAACCACTTATCATTAACTCTAAACTAGATATACTACTGGGCACTGTGGATATAAAAATGCATACAATACAGTTCCTACTCTCAAACACTTCAGTCCATAGTGACAACCAAGGTGAAACTGGAGTAAAGTACGTAGTTTAGCTAATAGTGCTGTACCAATGTTAATTTCTTGTTCTGATAATTATGCTATGGTTATGTAAGATATTAACATTAAGGGAAGCTGAGTAAAGGGTATATGGGAATTCTGCTATCTTTATATCTTTTCTGTACATCTAAAATTATTTCAAAGTAAAAACTTAAAAAAAATCAGTCTAAACTTTGTATTAATGAATTACCAAATTTCCATCAACTCAGCTTTAGAATGGTTTTCAGCTAACAAATCTAATGTGCTTGGTATCAACAGATGTATTACTATGACAAATAACTAGGGGTGTGGAAAGAATGGGTTTTAAGGAAACACAGGTTTGTATTTGACTTTTAACTCTCCTAATTATTATCTATGTTCTTTAAGTTAAATAACCTCTCTAAGACTCCGTTTTCTGATCCATAAAATGGTGTTAATAATACTTATAATAATTCCTTTATAGTGTTCTTCATGGGACTGCACTGGGCCTAGGGTGAGGTAAAGTATTTTAAGGGCAAATGACACAACATACATAAAGCCTAGTACATATATAGAACAATAAATATTAGATTAAATGTCCATGAACATTCATGATATCTGGGGATGCTTATTCTCCATCTTCATGTTTCATTTCATGAGGAAGGAGCACCATAACCCTAATTCGCCTGCCTGTCTGTCCCCTAATTTACTCCACAGGAGCTGAGCTGACTTATCAGACAGAAGAGCTGGGAATGAGAAACTGGCCGGCAGGGCCCATTCTTCTCTTGGCTAGAAGCCCACATAAAACTCAGCTGATGTAGAGATGCCCGCCATGGTAGGTGAGTAAGTCTACTAAGGATTGTGTTTGAGGATTAACGTTGACTTATGCACATTCTTCCATAACACCTTTATCAGCAATCAGAGTGATGTTGTGACCCCTACGTGCCTGTCTTTATGGCTGTGGTTCTCAGTTGGCTCAGAATTCAAGTATAAAAAGATGCAGCTGGGTGCTATGGCTCACGCCTGTAATCCCAGAAATTTGTGAGGCCAAGGCAGGCAGATCATCTGAGGTTGAGAATTCCAGACCAGTCTTGCCAACATGATGAAGCTCCGTCTCTAATAAAAATACAAAAATTAGCCAGGTGTGGTGGTGTGCACCCGAAATCCCAGCTACTTGGGAGGTTGAGTCAGGAGAATCACCTGAACCCCAGAGGCAGAGGTTGCAGTGAGCTGAGATTGCACCACTGCACTCCAGCCTGGGAGACAGAGTGAGACTTCGTCTTAAAAAAAGATGCTTTTATCAGGCCTCAAAAAGACACCAACAGTAACCAAATATCAAATAGCCTACTTCTCATGTAATAAAAGATCTCTCACGACTTTTTATGTTGTTACTATTTGCTCATGATTGACCTGCCACAATGTTCAGAAATGCAGAATAAGCTGCTTTGTCCTGCCCCATATCAGCCTCTAAACCCTTGTATTATCTCCTTAATGGTTTAAAGCAGGCTGGATTAGAGGGACACGGAAACCTCTCTGACTCCCATTTTTGTCTCAGCACCTAGAGATGTGGCAACAGCCCCCTCTGGTTGGGCTGAATTACGGTGCACACTACGAGTGGCAGCATTTTCTTTGTACAGTCTCATCCCCTCTCAGTTCATTGGATCCCAAAGGAGTGAGAATAGGAGGCTGGAAAGTAAAAGTGATTTCTGTGGCTGTATTTCAAAATCTTCCATTTTTCTGAGTCATAATTTCCACAATAGAAAAAAATTTTAACTTAAGTAAAAATAGGATTGGTGTTCTAGACTGAAAATGTGAAAATGTACATGCATTCAGCTGTTATCTTTTTTCAGACATGATTCATCCATGAACTTTGCCATAGCCTAGAATGAGACAAACACAAACAACAAAACACAGGAAAAAACAAAGACACATACAGAAAACCAAAACCTGCTTTCTAAAAATTAAAATCTATGAGGAAAGAATAATAAAATTCTAGCCCTCAAATGACTGAAGGGACCCCAGGGAAACCCTGGAAGCTAAGCTCATGGCCATGATGGAATGCGGGTTGGGCACACCTCGCTGTAGCCCTCCCTCACTAACCACCATTAGGCTTTCTTCTCCAAGGGCTAAGCAGAAACTGACCCTTTTGAAAGATTCCACATTGAAAATGTCCATTAATGACTTATCTTCCCAGTACAGACAAAGCTAAAATGAGATTATGCATTCCTTCACTCCTCCTTAAGATGTCTGCTCCCTCCATTCCCTTGTTTTTCAAATGTTCACGTTATCTTATGTAAAATGTAAACTTCCAGGGCCCTAATTAAAGTCTCACAAGTATGTAACCATTCCTCTCACTGTTGCCTCCTGCCTTTTAAGGAAATGTATAACTACTAAACCTTCCGAGAACCTCTTTGGGAAAAGCAGCCACACAGGCATCCGTAACTTGTCCTCAAGCTGGCTCAGCAAGCCTCAATGATTGAGATTTATGACTCAATCACTCGTTTTGGTTATCACAGTCACCAAGGTCACATAAAAAAACACATCCATCTTATCCACTGACGTTTCCTTAAGCATTCACTCACAGTCTACTAATTTTTACATTAAGCATGACTTTAGCATGCTTGGTGGTCTGTTTTCTCATTAGCAAGAGCAATTGGATGAGAAAAAAATGCTTAAAGGAGGCAAAAAAAAATAGAGCAAGTTAGTTAGACAGTAAGAAGTATGAGAGATAGTAAAAAACAACTCCAATAAATATGAAAACATTTGAGACACTTTAAGGCCAAAAGACTCAGGTACCTCAGGTATCTCTCACATGTGTGTGTGTGTATCTCTGTGTATGTGTGTATATATATGTATATACAGGCATGTATATATACATACACACAAGTATATATGTGTATATATATATGTATGCATATACATATATATGTACGCATATGCATATATATGTACATGTGTATATATTCATGCACACACCTATATATATGCATGTATAGATGTGTGTGTGTGTATACACACACACATATTACACACATGAATATATTCATTAAAATGCCACTGAGTTGTGTGTTTTTGCTTCATAAGCCTGTTTCCCAGGGTGAGGAAACTGAACATGGGAGAAGAGAACACTGGACTGTGGACATGGACAGGAGAGCTGGCATGCCTTGGGTCACCAAGGATTTTTCTGAGGGCTATTTTCTTTACTTTTAAAATAAAAAGTCTGAAGTGGGTGATCTGTAAGATTTCTTCTAGCTACAAAATTATTTAAGCCTGGAAATAATCATCAGCATTTAGAAGTAGGTACGTTTCCACATTGAGTCAAAGAGCCAATTCCCTGGTAGAGACAAATAGATGAAGCTACTAAATTAAACAAGGCCGGGCCGGGCATGCTGGCTCCGATTACACCAGTAACCTCAGCACTTTGGGAGGGCGATGCAAGAGGATGAGTTGAGCTCAGGGGTGTGAGACCCCCTTGGGCAACACGGCAAAACTCCATCTCTACAAAAAAATACAAAAATTAACTGGGCGTGGAGGCAGGCACCTGCGATCGCGCTACTCAGGAGGCTGAGGTGAGAGGATCTCTTGAGCCTGGAAGGTCAGGGCTGCAATGAGCTGTGATCCTGCCCCTGCATTCCAGCCTGGGTTACAGAGTGAGACTCTGTCTCAAAATAAA